TAGAGTGATAGCACTGCAGAGACTCATTTTAGGAAATTGGTCATTCTGTTACCAGGGAAGGGTGTGAATAGGAACCAGCAATCAAGATCTGGTCTAGTACTAAGTAAGTATAAACAAAATGCAGCATTGCTGTTTGTTAACCAGGAAGCAGAAATCACAGAGGTTCAGCTGTGCAAGAGTCTTCTGGAAAAGTCATGTGCCATTATATAACATATTTTATTAGAAAACTTAATACTACATCACAGATCATTTGTCCAACAGAGAAGAACCTGCTAGGCTAAGTCTAAATTCTTGCATTTTCTGATTTTGAATAATTACAATTGCAGATCATAGCTACATAAATCTCCAAGAACAATGTTGCTAGCATAATCTTATATCCTATACTTCTGGACAGATGGTAAGTAACATTAAAAATGTCTGCATTAAAAACTGCATTCTGGACACCTTCATGGAAACTCTGCCATAAAAAAATCATGGGCACTGAACAGCACAGTGGATTCAAAGAACTACCCAAGTGGATAAATGGGGCTTGATTTCAGATAACAAGCACACAAAAGGCACTAAGTGATTTGTCTTTGCAGAAAATAACTTTTTTTTTCCCCCTCTTTTCCTGTTTTAAAGAAGCACTTCTGTATTTCATCATGCCTATCAGCATGTCATAACTCCAAGCAAGAAACACAAACATTAAACTGTTTTCTACACAGTAAATAAGATTTTCTTAATGTCCAGTTGGATTCTCCCAGGCTCCTGAATGACATGTTTCTCCATTTTTCATGCATTGTAGGAGACAAAAAAAAAGCAGGACAAATTTGGTGAAAGCAAAAGTTAGGAGGAGAGTGGGTATGTCAAGAAGAGGAAGATAAAGGATACTAGAGGAAGAAGAAAGGAAGATTGAAGAGCAGTATTAATTCAAAGTAGAGCTGATCTGAAGAACTAGCTGGCAGAAGCAGCCAGTCACTAGAAGGGTTATTCTGTATGCAAAAATCCTGGGAGTGACAACCTGGATTTATGGAAAAGGTGTGAAGAAAGGAATGAACTAAAACAGTGCTGTTCCACCTCTGAATGCCTCATGACAAGAAAAACACCTCTAATAGTTACTAGCAAGGTTACTCTGGGAACTTGTGGCAATGTCACATTATTGTGCTAATGCTAACATTATTGTTCACTTGATCTAACCAACATCAGTCAGGGTATTTCAGATCTCTCCCAGAAAATGATGTTTAGTTACTTTATGAGCAGAAATCTATTTGAAGTGTACAGTGTTTGTTTTCTCTTCCCTTGAATAGGAGGAATTAAAAAATATTCTTCCACGTTGCCTATGTAAGTCTATTGAATGAATGGAGGTGAAATACAACTTAAAGAGGAAGTATTCATTTGAATAATTAGTAATACTACTAAATTAATTTATCATAAGTATTTGGAAATTATTTTCACAAGTCTCATATATTTTGATACATTTCATTATAATTTCTGAAAAGTCTCAGTACCAGATAATGAAAGTTAACTTGGCAAGAAGTAATCATTTAAGAGTGTGGGAATAATGTGATCCGTAACAAAAAACACAGATAAATGCAAATGCTTCTGATGGTGTTTTAAAGGTCAAAATAATCAAATTTAAGTATAAATCTGTTCAGGCCTTGTTTATGATAGCTTACAAAGGGAATAATCAGTAGTGACAAATCTGGGGCTTCAGAGAGGTCATAACACTTCTCCGAACATGCAGGAAATGTTAACCTGCGTATTTAAAACCACAGCATAGCAGCTGTTGATATTAATTGATTTTTCAGTGGTAGCAACATAATGATTCATAAAGCATATTTTCCCTCTCACTGTGATGTGTAACTTCATCAGAATCACTTAATAAGCTTACATTTGTTAGCCAAATGAGTTTACCTTGTTTTCTCCTTTCATCATGACTTCCATTATGCACCAGCTACTCTGTTAAAATTTTTATTTTTGAGCTATTCATCTTGGTATCTTCATAATAACTGAGATGGTAACATTTCCCTTAATTTTGAACTGCATCTATTTCCATATGTGCAAGTATTTTGTAGCCATCTTCTTTTCCTCATTCAGATAATACTAAGATAATTCTACACTGATGTATATGTCACTGAAATTGCCACTAATGACTGAAAGTGACCAATTCTTTTCAACACTTTCAACTTTAGTTACGTCACTTTTATTTGTAATTTTAAAATATTTGATAAACATAGGATCATTTCTTGCTTCTTTCTATGACTTAAAAAAGAAAAAATGCCTTTTAATTTTCCCTTCTTAATTATGAAGTTAATTATTCAAATATAATTGCTCCCAGAGAGACAACAGGTTTGTTTTTTTTTTTTCAGAAAAAAAGTGGGTTACAAGGAATCTAAAATGACCATTTTGTCCTTTCCCCTGCCCCACTATACAATCAGCTATACTGAACCATCTTCAGGCAGGTGTCAATCTAACCTGCTCTTAAACAACACGAGTGATGGAAATCCAACAGTCTTCTCAAACAACCTCTCAAACATGTGCTTCACCACACATGTAAAAAGAACTTATTTTCCCCATTGTCTAACCCAAAAGCCACTCCCAGCTTTTCACCTTATTACATCTTGTCCTGTTCTCAGTGAATATGGAAAACATCTTAGTACTTTCTTCTTTAAAGAACTGTTCAGTCCATCCCTCTTCTGAAAAAATGTTTATCCACAGCCCAGGAAAAAACATTCTAAAAAGTTGCTCACTATTGTAATATATCTTTAAAATTGTATTTTAACATATTCACAAAACTTTGTTCATTCTCTCATTGTTCCTAAAACACTGACCATTACAAAGGATATTCCTGTAAATTAGCCTTTTTGTGTCTCTTGGTAAAGCAATAATCAATAATACATCTATTTTAATTGTTAAATATATATATATTTTTTTTACTCTAAAATTCAATTTATCATGGCGAGATCATGTTTACAAAGAGGAGAAACTGCTGAACTATCAATAAAATTACATATGTGAGAAGAACTAATATTCAAGAAAGGATTCATTCTACCAATGGTCCAAAGCCGAAAGATTTTCACTATGTAGTCCTGCAGATAAATGCTGACTTTTGGCTTTTGACACTTCCCATTTTCACAAGCAAAGTAACTGCATATACAGGTGCAAACTCATAAAAATTTGTGTCAGATTGGACTTCAGTTTTTTGAGAAGTTGGAATCTTTAAATATAAAAAATTATAAAACTATGGAGTTATTCATTCCAAGGACCTGCTCAAACGTCACTCAGATATTCCTTAAATTACATCTAACTTACAATACTAACAATTTTGGAGGACTAAGTCCGTGCAAGAATTTTTCCTGTTCACCTCTTGACATTTCATCTGCAAGACTTGTAGAAAGAAGACTCCTCCTAGAGTGCAAATACCATAGGGAAGTCAGAGCATCCTCTATTTACCTGTGCACCTGCAAAGGAAAAGTAAAACGTCTGAAGCCCCACCTTTTAAGGACCTTGTGAAGCAATCTGGGAGCTGAGCCAAAACTTGCTCTCTCACTATATAAAACTCAGGAGCAGACCAGTACTTTCTCAGAGGCAGGTTGTTCGGTAGTTTCTACCGGACTTCCAGAAGATGGGCACAGGTAGTGGGACACAAATACCACTATGGATATCAATACTAGCACTTGCCTACATACAGATCAAAGGTAGGAGGATTTACTTGCTTGGCATTTTTACAATTTTAAAGAATTTATGACCTGCTTCAGAGTTTGAAACTTTTTTTTTTGGCTTTGCAGAGCTAATGTATACCTTTATGCAAAATTTTCTTCTCAGTTACAAATATTTTCCTTCCTAAAAAGATGAAATCAAGTGTCTTCAATGTTCATATTCTAGTTAATGTTCTTAACACATTTTCTCCATTTGAAATCTGAAATAATTCATATTTCTACCACTGTACCTCAAGACTGGCGTTTAACTTCTGATATGAGCCTTTGAAACTATATCTTTTATAAACACACAAACCAAGAGGTGCAAAAACACATTTAAGAAAGAACAAACTAGTGGAATCTGTTTGCATTATCAAATACTTTTTTGTTGTTGCTTTATTTTATAATACGGTAGAGATTTTTCTTGAAAAATATTGCACATTATATTTTAAATGTCATTTATCCTTAAGCATGAGATTGTACAAAAGCTTAAAGCAGATGTTTGTTTCTTCAGGGTGAAAAACAAATAGATTTGCCTTAAATATTATAGAAAAGCACTTACTACTCACAGATGAGTAGAAATCTTTCCTATTCATATTCCACCTGTCAATTTCCTTTAAAGATCAAGATGACAGTGTTAGTTTCTAGTGTGTTTTAGCTTCAGATGTAAATCCTTGTGAATTACTTTATATTTTTCCAGCAGCAGATAATTCCACACTAACTTATGTTAAAAAGTAGTGCTGCTTAAGAATAGCCCATCAGAAGGCTAACTGTAGTATTACCATACAATGCAATGGAAATGGGAAACTGTGAAGCATGTGGCACTAGACAGTGTTGGAGCCACACTAGGCATGGAAAAAGAAGAAAAAGCACTCTAAGGATAGGGAATGGAGGAGAGGAACCCAGAAGCACTGACTGGTTCACATCTCCAAAAAGGGTGCAACACATCCTTCCAACCCTAGCTGCAGATTCCCAGCTGATGCAAGAAGGAAGGAATTTATGGAGCTTCCTTCAGCTCTGATTTCAGTATTAGCCCCTCTAGTGGTGCTACTCATGGACTGCCCTGTGTGGGACACAGCAAACAGTTGGCCTGGCCTGCCTTTGTAGTTCTCTCCAGCTTCCGTGGCTTCCCCTGCAACCTGCCCTGTATCTGACAAACTCTCAACAAGTTAAAATGTCTCTTGGGCCTTACAGATTTTGTGTGTATCCCTACTTTGAAGCTGAAGGGGAATGGACTAAAAAAACAGTTTCACAGCTGGGAAGAGAAAGCTCTGTTTGGGGGCCTATTTCTTTCTGTGTGGCTTGTGGGTTTATTTTTCTTTTGCTGCTTATTATAAAAAGTGTTTGAAACAGTAAAATAAATAGTAACTTTGGCTTTCAGTAAGAATATAGAGATTGCTCCTCCACTTCAAAAATGGGTTAGTCCTGTAATAAACTGAACTATTTTTAAAGCCCTTTAGATAGACAAAGGCTTTTACTTATGACTAACGGACATAACAATCATAAAATAGAAAATTAATTAATTTATCTGAAAAATGTAACAAAGTATTGGGGTGATATTACAACAATTAATAGAATAAGAATCTGCTCAAATTCTCAATAGCACATTTTCGATAGCTTCCTTTTGCAGTAGTACTTGATTAGTCTGCAGAAAAAAAAATAGTTCAAGGAGGGGTATAAGGCCACCATGGTTGCATGGAACACAGGTCCTGATATAAGTCTGGCCCCCAGGAACAAACATAGCTTTGCCAATTTTTACATACTGATTTATGCAAGTTTAAACAAATGTAATTAAAAAAAATGAAGGAACTCATGTAAATTAAACATTAACACTTTCCTTTTTCACTCTCCTTGGTGCAGTTCAAGCTCAGGGCAATGAGCAACAATCACAATCGAACTATGACTCTCCATCATTCCTGCAGCGACAAAATAGTAAGTACTTTTATGCTGACATATTTCTAATATTTTATCCCAAGTTAAACTGATAAAAATCCAGATTCATTGGTCCAGAATGGCTTAAACCCACTTTCCCCTTACAAATAAATGAGCAAAGAAATAAATAAATCAAATAGAGAGAGAGAAAAAAATCTGTCTACAATATATCCAAGTCCCAGCAGTTCCTGGGAGAACTAACTTCTTTTGAGATCTAGCCCTGTAGATCTGGTCAACTGACGTGATACAGTTATCTAATCTTTAACTTCATGAAAGGTACATACTTTCTATCAAAAAGTGTATTTTCAGAAGGGGGTGTGTATACATACATATCACCAAGGTATTTGATAGAAGGCAATAAAAGATACATTTTTTATGCTGTGTCAATATGATCGCATCACTCACAAGTGAGAATAACAGAACTGTAACTGCCTTAAAGATTAGAATGATTAAGCACTAAATCATCATGTATGCAAAACAGTTTTATGACACATACTGGAACACAGTGACAATATACAGCAAAACAAGTGTGAAAAGATGAAATACCAATTGGTGTATTGATGATGACATGTTGCAGTAATTAACCACTTAGCCTGCACTGCTATTGGCAATTTCTGATGTCACTATCTGGGAATTTTAAAAAAATGTACTAAACACAAACTGGAAGTATATTTCAAATTATTTCATAAGAGTGCATTCAGTTATTGGAATAGATTATCAAATAAGGTAGTATATGTTCTTTCCCTTAAAATCCTTATATCAGGACTTAACCAAACTACATTTCTAAAATTATGGATTTGTCTTATTGTTGTTTTAGTCTAAACACATAAGTCAGTTGCTAATATTCCACAGCCTACAATTTGAAAGTCGTCATGTTCTACAATTTTATACTGTCAAGGGAGAAACTGCAGCAAATCCTCAAACTCTGATGTAAAGAAAATATATAGTAAATTCTCTAAGTATTCTATCCCCTTCATAGCTGGAGCTATAGAGAAAACATTGGATTTGGACATAGAAAATTTAAGGCAGGATCCTATGAACAGAAGTCTTTGCATGAAGAGCAAATGATTAAAGCTTTACAGAATTTAAACAGCTTTTCTTTTAGGGAAAGCAAATAAAAAAACCTGCTCACAGCTGGTTATGCAAAGTTCCATCCTCACCAGAGAGAAAGAGACTAGGTTCAGAAAAAAATAGCTGTTGCTTTTCATCCTCTACGGTCCTTCAGTAGCCTTCTGCTTCTAAGTGTACTGACAGACAAAGGCTCAGATCTAAGGATTACATTGCTGCTTTTGAGCTCAGATTAGCAAGGCCAGCGTCAGTCTTGAATAAATAATGGCAATAATAACTATAGCCAAAGAGCACTGTCTTTGAGATTTGGATGCTAGTGAAACACATGGAAAGACAGAATACAGAGCACTGCATGAAAAGCAACAATAAAACCTTGTGGAAATTCTCACTACAATGTAACTAGTACCAGGAAACGTTATATCACTAAAGAAACTTAAGCAATCTCTAGCCATTTTTCAGAATTTCTCATGAGATTAAACATGACTTTTTATTTTGTCCTAGATCTTTCACCAGTTTCCAAATCCCATGGAGTGACGATCATCCCACCTCTTCAAAACACATTAAAAGTAAAGGGTGAGTGCAAGAGATGTCATGGCTCAGATATGCATACATTTTTACCACACAAAACCTGAATTGAACTAACAAATTCAAAAATTGTATAAGATCCTTCAGCCTCATAAAATAAAAAACAAACTAGAAAAATAATCAATTAATCACATAATAGGGATAATCTACAAACAGCATGACCTCTAGCCTATATTTTATTAATACGATGAAACTGGGGAAAAATATTATATATGAAATACTAGGATAAATCACACACACTATTTCCAGTAAGGTATGTTAAATGTGTTCAAAACACTGGTGAGATATCTCACCAAAGGAACTAAATGGAGGGTATCTACAGAAAATTGCAGAAAATTCTGATGGCTCATTTTCAATCCGCAGCTGGCAACCCCTCTCACAATGGCCGTGTATGCAGTACCTGGGGTAACTTCCATTTCAAGAACTTTGATGGGGACATCTTTTACTTCCCTGGGGTCTGCAATTACATCTTTGCATCCAACTGCAAATCTCCCTATGAGGACTTCAATATCCAGATTAGGCGCACCATTGTGGAAAATGCTACTGTGATCACTCACGTCATCATGAGGCTGGAAGGAGCAGTGGTTGAATTGAACCGCACCTCTGTCCTGGTCAATGGCAAACAGTATGTTCACATCTTCTACTATGAACTGAAATTGTTGGAACTGCTATCACTCCCTGAAGGCTCTTTGAGCAAGCATCCCTGTTCTTCATCTGATCTGATACTGCTCCCAGCCAGCTGAAGGGCTCTGGTCCTTCCTGAGGCAACAACAAAAATTAGAGTGCCTGACAATGAGCTACATGCAACTTCTGCAGATTATCCTTGTGTTCAGAGGAGCTATATCCCAGATGCAGCTCCATTCCAACAATTGTCTATGTATGATTGTATAAGCTGGATTCAGCCAAAGTATTAGGTCTTTCCACCCTATAAGTTTCTACCTGTCATTAATTTTACCAGATAGGAGCCCGATGAGGAATTTCTTATTCTTCCTGTACTTGTACTGAGAAATGCAGTTAAACACACTGCAATTACAGATTGCACCTGAGCTCATTTTAAATAAGCTAATCTGGGAACCTCCTACTCTTGAAGAAATGGTAGCACTGACTTTGGCAAAAGGTGTAAAACCTGTCCAAATGTTTGGGTAAATATTTGGACAGCTATCTCAGTGATCTGTGTATTATGGCAACTACTTAGCAAGCTAGACTAAAGGTTATTTTGGATACAGCTTTACAAATGGCACTCATGTCACAGAAAGCCTAAAGAGTCTATCCCTTCATTATCAAGGGCTTAAAGGAATATTCAGCAATATTCTGAAGCATACTGTCTGCAAAACAGAATATCCCAGCACTTTTTTTTTTGATCAATGTAACTGAAGACATGCCAACATTTTACCTTTAACAGAAATAAGCAAAAGGAACAGCAGGGAAAGCAAGGCTGATCCATTGCAGACAAAAAAAAAAACAATCAAAATAGCCAAATGTTAACAAATCTGAGCTGTCTGTATTTAGTTATTGCTCTGGCTAATTTCCTCATCTTTGTGTACTGAAGCTTCTCAAAAAAGTGAGAATTGGTATCAATTTGCACTCTCAATGGATATTCTGTCTTTACTCCCACTGAATTATGGTGATCTTTTCCCAGGATTCAGATGCCCTACAGCCATATGGGAATCTTGATAGAGAGGAGCAACAACTATTTGAAAGTTTCTGCTAAGTTAGGACTGACCTTCCTCTGGAATGAAGAGGATGCCCTTCTGGTAAGAAAGTATCCAAAATGTGACAGAAAACCTGTAATTAGAAGAAAGTTCATTTAAATTTTTGCACTCTTAAATAGTCAAGCAGACATTAATTCTTTATGGATTTGTATCTATGTTTAGTATGGATACAAATCTATATACCAGCCTTTTCTTGGTTTTACTTTTTTTTTTTACCATTGAGAATAATATACACCCATATGATAGTGGTGACACATCACAGTGAAATACTCAGATACCAGACCTGGCAGTGCTCAGATGTTCACAGTCCAAAGCCTAGACTAAGATGAAGTTTTTCATGGTGGTCACTGACCTTCTACATCTTATAGTCTACACCAGAACACACACATCAAATTTTGATTACATAAGGACACTGTTTCTAACCATCAGGGTTGACATTACGGTGAACCAATTTCTTTTAGGTGGAACTAGATAAGAAATATGCCAACCAAACTTGTGGACTCTGTGGGGACTTCAATGGAATTCCAACTAACAACGAGTTTATTTCACAGAGTAAGTAATAAATAGCATTATTACATCTTGAAACTTTTTCCCTCATTTTAGCAGTATAGGATGTGGGTTGTATTAAGTGCAAAACTAATGATACATCTTCTAGTCAGTATTTTTAAGATATCAGTTTTAACAAGTCATAGAGTCACAGCTTTTAGATGTATTCAGGTGTTTCCACCACTGTTAGATCTTTTAAAACAATGTAGCCTTCTACTTTTTTTCAGTTGTTAGGCTGCAGACCCTTACATGCCTTCACCTCCTTTTGCCTATCACTATAGTGATATTATTTGGTAATCACTGTTTTTGATGGGTAGGATCTCAAAAGAAAACACCTCCATGCAGAAGCTAGTAAAGCAGTAAATATTCTGATACTTTGCCTATTTTATACAGATGCAAAACTGACTGCTGTACAGTTTGGGAATAGGCAGAAGATAGATGGACCCACAGAGCAGTGTGATGATCCTATTCCTTCTGCTGTTCTGATGAACTGCTCATCTGAATTTGTAAGAACCTCTCTTTCAGAATTCCCCCCCCCAGAGTAACATACGTTATCCTTTTCTGTCTTTGGAGAATATCTGCTAAGATAGGTAAAAATACAGCATGAGTATGGCCAGACATGGGTCTGGAAGAAAAAGATTCCCAAATTTAGTATTCTTCACTGATGTGAATGCAAAAGAAAAAAATTACATGAGTTCAATAGAAGACTGGACATTTTAAAATGAAAAAGCAATTTACTGAAGATGTCTAAACACAAGGAAACTATACAATGCTTACAGAGTCACCTGAGAAAGTAACTCAACATATGGGAACCATCAAGTCCCACGAGTCCTATTGCGATATGTTTTTCTAAGCTTCTAAATAGATCTTTCCTTAAACATTTGCCTATGGCTACTGTTGGACAGTGTTTTGGACCGGATGGACTTTAGTTTTACTTCATGCCTTAAATGAAATAACTATTTCCATGTTTTCTAAACACTATTTCATTGTTTCCCTTTCCAGGCTTCTATCTGCAAGACAGTATTAACCAGTGAAGCATTCACAAGCTGTAATGCACTTGTGGATGTTCAGGACTACATTGAAACTTGCATACAAGACCTATGCCACTGTGATACTTCTATGGCTGACTTCTGCATGTGCAACACCTTTGCTGAATACTCCCGGCAGTGTGCTCATGCAGGTGGACAGCCTCTGAACTGGAGAACCTCCGAATTATGTCGTAAGTATCTCTGGAAGTAACTTCCACTTATGCTGCCTACTTATATACAGTAAGCTTCTAATATCTAGTTTTTCTTCCTGAAGAAGACAGCCATTTAAAGGTACATGTAATTTTCATGAAATCAGCTTGCACTTGAGTACACTCAAGATTACATGGATATGAAGGTTTAGAGGATCTTGTATTACCATTTTCAATATAAATTAGAAGGTCTAAAATATTGCAATCTACACTCAGATGTTGTCCATTAAACACTCTTTTTCTCAACATTTCAAAGGAAAAGCCAGCATCATACTACTCTTTCTACTTTCAGCCAAGTCATGTCCTTTCAACATGCAACATCAGGAGTGTGGCTCCCCCTGCTCCGACACCTGCAGCAATCCTGAACGATCTGCACTTTGTGAAGATCATTGTACAGATGGCTGCACCTGTCCTCCAGGCAAGTTACTTCATACCCTTCATTCATAACCAAAACCATTAAAACTTTCTTACTCCATCTATTCATACTATGTTGTTATCTTCCTTGATATACATACATTACTTCTACCCTGGTTATAAAAACACCCTTTCAAACACCAAATGGTCCTAAAACATGTATATAATGACTGAACTGTGTATAAGACACTTTACTACTAATGATAAGAGGATGTTCTTAGCATCCACATGCAGCTAACTGAATGCGCAGAATGTTTAATTACACTCTGTCCACAATGGTAACTCCTACTGTTGGCAAAGCTAGGTGTGGTTACCCAGAGTACCATACCCAACAAATGTGTTTACTTTCCTCATGCCAGCTTCTGTGCCTGAGAATTGTCGGCATTCTGAGTGATGGACATCTTTTCCCATTGTAAATCTTTTGCACATCTTCAGTGATGTCTCACAGAATTCACCATCGCTTAAGAGGTGTCAGTGTTATTGAATAAACAATTCTCTGACTGTACAGTAAATATATATATATATAGCCAAATACATCCCCAAGCAATCTTATAAATGGTTCATCTATTCCATCTTACTCTCTAATAGTTTTAATCCTAATTCCAGTCTAATGAAGCCTATAACAGAAAGGACTTTACTTAGAAGTTCCTTATGATTATCCTAGGATTTTAGATAGGCTTCATTCCCTCTATAGGTGGCATTCTATTATTTTAAGAAGCTTTACATTTTCCATTTGCAGGAGAAATGCAAAACACTTCATACGTCTGACAGACATGTAAACAAAAGCAGATTCTGTAGTGCACAAAATAACTAACAGACTGTTTCTTTCCCTAGGAATGTTATTTGATGACATTAATGGTGCTGGTTGTATTCCCCGTAAGGAATGCCACTGTACCTATGAAGGCGAAACTTATGCTCCTGGTACCTCCTTCTCATCTAAATGCAGATCATGGTAATATAGCCCCTCTCATATTTCTTTTTTTAGGGGTGTATCTATATGTTTTGGAGACAGGGAAAAATTACTAATTACTCCTTAAAAAGAAATGAACTACTTATTAACTGAAGTTCCTTGATAACTTTTTCAGAGGATTTTCAAATCTGTTTTCTCCTCAGACTCAGAAGCACAATTTTAAGTTTAGATGTAAGTGTTTTGATGTCAAGACTAACCATTTATAGGGAACAATCAAACTCAAATCGTGGAGGCTGAAAAGCCATTTACAGATGTGAAGGATGTGACGCGGTAATCACAGCACTGTATAACAAAATGAATGCCAGGTTCAAAAGAATTTAATTCTGTCCAACAACTGGAAATAAAAAACATTATGCTTAAAGTATCATTAACATAAACATAAATATGATTTATATTATATATATTTATATAAACATCATATCTATATGTTTATATTAATGATACTTATTTTGAATTTCAAACAAACGTGGTTTCTTTGTAAGTATATTTTTCTCCAGAAGGCAGCATACTCAGCAATGATTCACAAGGAAAATAAAGGTGCCCTTATGTCTAATTTAATTTATATATGCACTATCAAGGTTACAGAATGCCTTCTTCATTTCAGTACTTGTGCTGGGGGTGAATGGACTTGCGTCACCCAGTCATGTCCAGGGACTTGCAGCATCGAAGGAGGCTCCCACATTACAACATTTGATGAAAAATATTATTCCTTCTATGGAGATTGTAGCTACGTCCTAACCAAGGTAAAAAGGAGTCACATTCCTTGTTAAAGTAATTTGCTAAAGGAAAACACTTTTATTAAATACAAGAATGTTTAAATGAAACTACTGGTAATTACAGCAATTTTCTGAAACTTAAAGGAAATACGTGGAACCTTAAATAGATCCCAATGGGCTTTCCCATAGTTTTCTAGAAAATAAATACTTTAGTATTCTTATCTATTTGATCATTGGTTAAGAACTGCACTGAGTTTTTAGTTTTCATGAAACAGCCTCTACACTTTCCTTTTTTTTAATTGAATATTCCCTGTCTGGTGTTTTGTAACTGTCTCTTTGAGAAAGAGAAAATGCAGAATACACTAGAATTTGAAAGCAAAATGGTAAGAAGTCATACACATATTCTAAAACCAGCATCAGAAACTATATATACATTAAAAAACACTTAAGATCTACTGAACTCGCTAAATTAGTAGGGACTGAATCCTGAGTATGTATGCCTCAGTTAACTACAGATTTCAAATCTCAGAATGCAATATATATTTGGCTGTTGATTTGTACTGGGTGAGTAATGCAAAAATCAATTTCCTGAAGGCTTTATATTAAATAAAACCTGCTCTGAAAAAGCTCAAGCTGAATGTTACCAGGAAAGAGAACCATAAACACTTAAGAAATGAGCTAGAATGACATAATTTAAAAACAGATTAGACTAAATCAATGAAAATTTTCAGTGAGAAATCACAAGCATAGGGCTGGATCAACAATGTAAGCATAGATCAGACATGCTAAACTTCCTTTTTGGCACCAGCATGTAAAGTTAGATTCACAGGGGCCCTGGAAGTACACCAAAACCTTCAACCTGTATAGATAAGATCCAAAAAGCCCTAAATTTTAACATTAAATTTTCCTATGGCTGTAATTCCACATCTCAGCTGTCCTCAGTTCAGTATTGTTAACACCAAGAAAATGAGTTGTGTGTTTCTCTGTAATAACTTGGCCAATAGGCACACTTCAAATACAGCTCATAGAACATAGTCTGCAGGAAAAAAAAAAAAAATTAAACAAAAAAAAGCAAAAACACCACTGTGTGATCTTTCTAATACAATGGGCTATTTTGTTTTCTCCTTCTAGCTCTGTGACAGCAATGATTTCACTGTTCTGGGTGACATCCACAAGTGTGGTCTCACTGATACTGAGACTTGCCTCAAGGGCGTAGCCATCAGTCTAAGCGGAGGACAAACTGTAAGTAGCAAATGCAAACAGCTAATATTCTGCAGTGATGTTTTCCAATCTTAATATGCAAGGAGTATGCAAATGACTCATAACAGCACCGACTGATTTTTTGTTTTATCATTTTCAAATGAATTCAATTTTTGAAAAGAACAAAGCAGATATATTGGAAGTCAAATCCTCATAGTTTTCTGTCATTTAGTTGTCTGTTTTAGCCATCAATGGATTTCTATAAAAAAGAAAAGAAATAGTAAGGGAACCTGAAAATCACCATAGCCAGAGTCCACCAACTTCCCTATTCCTTTTTCCCTCCCCCACTCCTTTCCTTTATCTTGAATAATACTAGATATACTACATTTGGAAAGTGTTTTACCTTTCCTAAACATGCTTGATAATCATTGCCTTTTCTTGTGGGCAGAACATTGTGATCCAGCCTTCTGGCAGTGTATTTGTGAATATGATCTACACACAGCTGCCCTTCTCTGCAGGTAAGTTCCTTTCAAAGACTTCTGTGATGTTTCTCACTGGAAAGTATCCTACCACTTCTTCTCAGATACTGCTGCACCTGAACAGAAAGCAAATCACTAAATGACAGAATAGCTTTGTGTTGGAGCCTACCACTAAATCATGCTAAACATTTTCATCAAGCAAAGGTGTTCTTTCAGATAGGAACAGAAATGTATGCCTTTCCCTCCACTTTAGAACAACTGATGGAAAAGTGGAAGTTTTTTTGCATACTCATTCTTTAAAGTAAAGATAGCCCATCTTGGTGCAGGATTTGAAATCCTATACATACTTTTTCTGTTCTTCAACAACTAAGATCACACATGGCTGTGTAATTCTCCTATATAGTGAAAAGTTGTTTTAACTGTTTATCTTAAGTGAAATTATTCCTCTTTGTCCACAGCAAATGTCACCATCTTCAGACCATCATCATTTTTCATCATTTTACAAACAACTTTCGGTCTTCAGCTGCAGATTCAAATTGTACCTCTCATGCAACTTTTTATAAACTTAGATCCATCACAGAAAGGGCAGACCTGTGGTAAGTGATCTTATTCTAACAACTGCCTTCATCAGCATGCTTGATTTTGTAGGAGACTTTCACAGCCTATCTACTTCCCTTTAGGTCTCTGTGGAAACTTCAATGACATCCAGACAGATGACTTCAAAACCACAAGTGGTGTAATAGAGGGTACTTCAGCAGCCTTTGGCAATACTTGGAAAACTCAGGCTGATTGTCCTGATGCCAAAATTACCTTTGAGAACCCTTGCACTCTCAGCATAGAAAATGGTAAGCTCTTTTCTGTTCCCTTTTAAGATAGAAAGAAGAAATGAGCTCATAAACCACAAAGCATTTAGCATTTAGTAACAGTGGACTATTTGTGCACACACAGTTTCCCTCAGTAGAGGCTAGAAATTATCAATTAATAAGCAGTAAGTAGCTCAATATTTTGGATCTTCAAAAGTATTCCTTTGGCTAAAGAAAGCCAGTGTCGCTTTTGCCAATTTACCGAAGGGGAACTGGAACCATACAGAATATAAGGAATCTATTCCTGCAAAGCACTGGTTGTCATACAAGAAAAAAAGCTGTGCATAGCTCAACTGGAGGCTGAAAGACTCACTGTCATCCTTCCACTATCAAACTATGAACCAGACTTATAGTTCATGAATAACTTCATAGCTCTCTGAATCTTAAGAATTTCAAACAAAGAACCACTTAAGTTTCCACCATCCACAGCCAGTCTGCAATTTTTTTTTAAGATGAGCTACTGTACTTTTGATCCACATTTTGATTCTTCTTTATTAAAATACATATAAGAAGTTTTAGTTTATTCCACAACAACTACCATAAATTAAGAGTACTCAGTTTATGAAGAATTATTATCTTTGTACAGATGATACAGAATACTATTAATATTTAAGGAAATAGCTGAACTCTGTTAAGTTAAACCTCTCTAATTTCACTGCACGAAGTAATGTAACACAGAAACAAGAATTTAGGCAATGAAGCACAATATTAATTTGCATGTTTTAAATTCACAGATAAGTATGCTCAGCACTGGTGTGGCTTGCTCTCTGATACCATGGGTCCTTTCGCTGAATGTCACTCAACAGTGAATCCAGAAGTTTACCAGAAGGTATTGGCTCTTAGCTTTTTCATGCTTAAAAGAACAATACCTGGACTACTGATGCCAACACCTGAGAGAATAAGATTCCAGTCAGGAGAAGACACATTTATGACAGTTCTTTCCAAGCTAAGGATTCATTTTATCTAGGCATCATAGTATTTACTCCTTTATAAAGTTACCTTTCTTTTCACTCAAAGGAGAATGAATTTACAGGCGTTTTCTTGATACTAAATCCCTAATCCAGAAGCTTAAACTGTCTGAATTCTTTATCAAGCCTAACAACAGAAGGTGCTTTTCTAGAGATAAAAGCAGTATAAGTAGTACTTTGCCTAGTTGCTCTCAGCTGGCACATTTCTAAGAAGAAAGCAAGAACTGAAAGTACAAAGCAGCAAATGGACTGTTAAAAAAAAACTCCAAAAATTCAACCTATAGCCCTACAAAAAATGACTTACTTTTTCCTCCCCTTTATTCCTCTGACTCAGAGAGTCTAGCAAAGATGCAAAAGTCAGGTGGTATTAAATGCTTACTACTTGTTCCATTATCTATGGTACCACGGTGTATAATCAATGAATATAAAGAAGTTATAATTACAAAATAAACAAGAGAACTTGACTAAGCAGGTTATAATAACAAAAAGAGAACAGATAGAATGCTTACCCGCATCCTAGGTTTACTGCAAAACTCCAGAGGAGGAATCTCCAAAAGGAATCCTTTCTCACTGGTAGTCAGCTCTTAAATGGGTCTAGGATAGGTGGAGCCAGGCTCCACCCCTTCCAGCAGCACAGGTGAATTGCCTTCACCTGTGCTCCCATGGCTGACTCATTGCTCGCCTTAGGTGATCAGAGGTTCAGGCCCTGATTCAGCAGTTCCCGTACACATGGCTACAAATTGGAAGCAGCTGGGAAACCTATCACCACCTGCAAAAGCAAAGAAGAACAACAAAAAGAAAAAATAAGTTAAAATTGTGGGCCTCTGATTACTATCTTTCTTTGCAAATAATCTTTTCTGAAAGGGCTCAAAGAAATCTTCAAATGAAAAATAGGCATGTACTTATTTATATGTATTTGAATTACATTTTCTTTCAGCTGTAATGAACATGACACTTTAAATAAAGTCTAAAGAGATACAGTTCTGAAATGACAATCTGATGATCTCATATCATCCTCTTTCCCTAGAACTGTATGTTTGATACATGTAACTGTGAGAGTACTGAGGACTGCATGTGTGCTGCCCTTTCCAGCTATGTCAGAGCCTGTGCTGCTAAAGGAATACTTCTCAATGGATGGAGGAACAAAGTCTGCAGTAAGTTCTACACCTCTTTGCCTCTTGAAAACAATCACCCAAAAGACCCCACAAACAAGCTTTCAGAACATATGGGATTCCCAGAGTAAATTGTGTTAAATTATGTTTTAAGTATAGCATTCACTTCCAAGAATTTGGGGAAGAGAGGAATACCATAAAAAATAAGCAGCATACAGGGAGAAACGTAACAAGAGACTTGGTTACTTGCTCAGAAAATAGCAATAATACACAATGTATCAATATAATTGAACTTTTTTGCTTTTTTTTAACTTGGACAAAATATTTGTATTTATGACACAAGTATAGGGGAAAATTTTGTTTTGGCAGTTAAAAAAAAAAAAATAAATCACACTACTGAGGATATCAGAAAAGCACATCTACTTAATATGCCATATTTTATCATATGTACTTTACCTCAAATACTGCATTTATACCTACACTGATCCTTACATTAACTCACCTTGTTTTACTCTCTCAAGCAAAATACACCAACACGTGTCCAAAATCCTTGGAGTACACTTACAATGTTGATTCCTGTCAACCTACTTGTCGTTCTCTGAGTGAGCCTGATGTCACATGCAACATCAAGTTTGTCCCAGTTGATGGCTGCACCTGTGTAAATGGAACCTACATGGATGAAAGTGGCAAATGCGTGCCTGCTTCTAGCTGTCCTTGTTACTACAAAGGAATGCCTCTGTCTACTGGGGAAGTTATTCATGATAATGGCATTGTCTGGTAAGAGATTTGAAAAGAAAAGAATGAGACTGGATACAGGCAATCAGGAAACCGCATATATCCTATGCAATTTATTCAAATCTAACCAATTTTTCTCCCTAGTGAATTCAACACACACAAAAAAAGAATTCACAAAAATTATAAGATCAATTCATGTTTTGAATTAGACTACTATAACAATCAAACAAAGCATACTATGGTGACTTAACCTTGGCTACCAGCCAAACTCTCACCCAGGTACTTGCTTATTCTCTGCAACAAAATTTCGGTGAGCATAAATGACTTCTTTCACATCACACAGAGATGATACAGACTTGACAATCCTACTAGGATTAACATTATGAATGAAATCTGGAATATTCTGAAGGACAATTTTTAATTAGACAAATGGACAAAGAAAACTGGTCTACTTACAGAACATAATGGTTTTTTGGTCTGCTCTAATATGAAATACTTTCAAATATTCTAAACTATTCTGATGAAAAATAAGTTTTCTCCACACAGTGTTTGTTTCATTCTTTCAAATTAATTAGCAAACAAATTGAAACTCAGCAAGAGAAGCAAATATAACACCTTTCTCCTTTTTATAGCACTTGCAGTTATGGAAAGCTGAGCTGCATTGGAGAGAAACCACCACCAGGTAACATACTGCTTAAGATTTTATTTAATTTTCCCTTCACACCTTCAACCTTTTCAATTCTCTGTTTTTGTTATAATTATACAAATTCTGTAAGTCTGAAATCAAACAAGAAAACAAACCAGTGATTCTATAACACACCATAACTGTAAAAAAAAAACCAACAAAACAACACCATTTTCACTTTCAAATGACATAAACATCAAGTTATTACCCAGGAGAAAAGAATACTTGCTCACTTCAGTGAACTTGAGGAGAAAAATGTCTGCCTTTTATATAGTTTTTTTTTTTTTAAATTAAAGAACTAGAAGCCAGTCACTTCAAACAGTCAAAGTAAAACAGGATCTTTGCTTTCTTGTTTTTCGTTTGTTGAAAAGAGGTATTTCATGAAACTAACTGGACATTAGTTCCTATGAACAGTCAAAACATAGACATAAAACCAAAATGGGAATGACTTCAGAACATTTGTTTCTACCTCTGGACAAATGCATTCCCTTAAGTTGCATGTATCTGAAACATATGTTTGGTTTTGTTGGTATTGATGGTTTTTTGTTTGTTTTTGTTTGTTTTTGAATTTTTAAGGAAACACAAAGATTTAAACATGTTGTTTGTTTCACACTTCTTGTGCTTTTTTTCTCTCTTCCAGTCTGTGCACCTCCCATGGTCTATGTTGACTGTGGCAACGCCACTGCAGGTGTCACAGGAGCAGAGTGCCAGAAGAGTTGTCAGACTTTAGACATGGAATGTGTAAGTACAGAATCTGTACACCCAATTGAAAGCATAAGAAACTAGATCTCTTTTATGGTTACCAGTTGTAGATGGACTCTTCCATCGGGGCAATGTTTCAAGTCACATCTTTTACATGGTCTTTACAGTACAAAACCCACTGTGTCTCTGGCTGCATATGTCCTCCTAATTATGTATCAGATGGCAAAGGCGGCTGCATAACTGCTGAAGAGTGCCCTTGTGTTCACAATGGGGATTCCTACAGTCCAGGAGAATCAATCAGAGTTGGCTGTAACAACTGGTAAGACCATGTTGAAACATTATTTTCAAGCACCTAGAAGGGAATAGTTTAAATTCTCGTTGAATTACAGCTTTTCACTCTAGCAGTATCAAGATTTGTAAGAAAGAATCCTAAATAAAATGATAAATTAAGCAAAAAAATAAGGCTAATTGGGCCCACTCATGGCCATTTTAAATAAAAAGCAAACTGCTTCTGTTTTTAAAGTGGCACATAGCACAGAAATTGCATGTGGTCAGAATAAAAATTTGGTTCAGATGCTGTCATATTCATTAGAGTTAAGACAGCTTTCTTTTTTTCTTCTCAGACAATACCTATAATTCAATACAGCCAACAAGATTTAGAAACGTGGAACACTTAAGTTTTTTCTAACCCAAATTATTCACGTCATTATGAACTAACACTGTCTTTGGGTAAATTCTAGAGACTCTAGAGGTTTGCTGCATTTCTGAGAATAAACAAACCTTATTTTTTCACTGGAGGCTTAACATTTTTTAAAACTAAAAACAGAAGAATGTACATATTGAAATATGAATTGGTATGATATGTGAATATCTTTTTTTCACATTTTGAGTTCTTTTCGTCTTATGTAGCACGTGTAGAAACAGAAAGTGGCACTGCTCTGAGGAACCCTGCCTAGAAACCTGTTCAGTTTACGGAGATGGGCATTACACCACCTTTGATGGCAAACGCTTTGATTTTGAAGGAGACTGTGAATATGTTCTAATCCAGGTAATAAATTCCTTCTGCACAACTACCTGAAAGGAGGTTGTAGTGAGTCTTTTTCTGGAAAGGAGGTTGTAGTGAGTCTTTTTCTAGAAGTTGGAATTGATGGTCCTTGAGGTCTTTTTCAACTCTGTGATTCTAGGATTCTCCAAGTAATAGGATGATAGGAAATGACCTTAAGTTGCACAGGAGTTGCAAGGGAGGTTTAGGCTGGAAATTAGGAAAAATTTCTTTTCTGAAAGAGTGGTCAGATTCTGGAATGGGCTGCCCAGGGAGGTGGTGGAGTCACTGTCCCTGGAGGTGTTCACGAAACATTCAGATGTGGTACTAAGGGGTGTGGTTCAGTGGGGAAGTATTAGTGGTAGATAGACAGTTGGACTAGATGATCTTGGAGGTCTTTTCCAACCATGGTGATCTGTGATTCTATAATTCTTGTATATTGCATCAGAGAGCATCATTAATACAGAATATCATTCTTCTGTTTCAGAACTACTGTGGCAGAAAAGGTTTGAATCAGGGAACCTTCAGAGTCATCACTGAGAACATTCCATGTGGCACAACAGGAACCACCTGCTCCAAGTCTATTAAAGTTTTCTTGGGGGTAAGTATGTTCTTCAATAAGTTTCACCCCAAGCCTAATTTGCTGGAAGGACTGTTGGGTTGTCCCAGACAGATTATATCATAAAGTGTCCCCTAAGACAGTAAAAATGTTATCGCACTTCCATGATCACTGCCAACAATTCTGCCAGGGAAAGCAATAGAGGGATTTTTGAAAAGAAGCAGGTTAACAAGAGATTTTTGAATACAACATTTTGATGATAATTATTTCAAAAATGGTTACTAACAATATAAAAAACTGGACCTAGTGGGTGACTTTTTAAATCGGTCTCTAATTTTTACATTCCTTGTCCCAGAACTATGAGCTGGTACTCAGTGATGGACATTCAGATGTCATCCAGAGGTCACCTGGAGGAGAAATGCCATTCCAAATCCGTTCCATGGGCATCTACATGGTTGTTGACACTACTGTTGGTCTGATACTCATGTGGGACAAGAAAACCAGTATATTCATCAAACTTAGTCCCAGCTTTCAGGTACGTTTTAAAATACAAAACCTGGAGTGAACACTCCCTGACCCATTTTCATGCTCTATCTCATGTGGAAATATGGAAATTTAGGCTTCAACTGAAAAGCAGTTATTGCCTATTACCTTTGTAGTATTGACTCAGATTCTATATAAACATTTTCTATAAATTCTGTTATTCAACAACGGCATAACAGCAGCTGTATCAGTAGTTTCCTTCAAGAAAACGTATTTTGCTGAAGAGGTACATTTAATTAATATTAAGAACCACAAGTATACTCTACTTCTTTCCCTATCACTCCTAAGAATAAGTTAGAGATATCTCTTCATGAAAGGTATTTTGCTGAAGAGGCTCAGCTCATTTTAAATAAGGTTCATTATGGAGTACATTCCTCACAGATACTGAGAATCTGTACCTTGCTGATCTTCGTTACTTTGTGTTTATCCCCATGCAGGGACATGTCTGTGGCCTTTGTGGAAACTATGATGGCAATGGAAACAATGACTTCACTACGCGCAGTCAGTCTGTGGTAGGCAATGTGCTGGAGTTTGCCAATAGCTGGAAAGTGTCTTCTACTTGCCCAAATGCCAATCAAACCAAAGATCCATGCACTGCAAACCCATACAGGAAATCCTGGGCACAGAAGCAATGCAGCATCATTACCAGTGAAGTATTTGCGAAGTGTCACTCCCAGGTATGATAAAACTTGAGTCTGAAGTTCTTTTAAGCCAGAGTTTACAGTAGTTGAAAACACACTAGGATTTGGACTAAGTCATGAATAACAAAGTCAGACCATGCTCTAGGGAGATTGAGTAGAAAGGATATGCACCTCCATTCCCTCAGCTTATGCCAATTTTCTAACACGACACAAAAATTCATAGGACTTGTTATAGAAGGGACAGCTACTGATAAATAGCAGGATACATTTTAACTGCAATGGTGTCATTTTCTATTAATATAAATATCAGCTACATGATATCTACGATTGTGTGCTAGCATGCAGTAATGTAGCAATACTCCTGCAATTGTGTCTTTAACACCAAATCGTTCTTATGGTTATGACTTACTACTAATAGCTGTCTTCAACATTTTTCCCTCGATTTTTCAAAATATTATCATATTTTTTTCTTTTTTTTTAATCTTTCTCAAATATACAGTGGCCAACTTCAGATATTTTCTAAGGTGTTTTTTTTTTTTTTTTAGTACAGAAAATATCTTTTAAAAGTGGACAAGTGCAGGAAACAAAACTCAAATTTTTCCTCCAACAGGTTGAACCAAATGAATATTATCAAGCATGTGTGGATGATGCTTGTGCTTGTGACACTGGAGGAGACTGTGAATGTTTCTGTACAGCAGTAGCTGCCTATGCTCAAGCTTGCAATGAGCTGGACATCTGCATTTCATGGAGAACCCCATCCATTTGTCGTAAGTCTCACCCCACTTCTTTCTGAAGCAATTCAGAGGGAAAGAAAGCAACAGACAAGGAACAAACAAAATCAGACAAAGAAACAAACAAACAAAAAAAAGTAGGAAGAAGAAAGAAAGGAGGATAAAACTATATTTGTAAAACTATATTTGTAAAACTATATTTGCAGGGGACACTGCTGTATCATAAAAACAGGCAGAAAAAAACAGCACAATAATAACAACAACAACAACAACAAAAACTCAACACAAAACCCAAAGCAATTTGAGTAAATCGTTGGAATTCAATCTACTTAAAAAGAAACCATCTGCCAGTAACTTTACCAGCAGTATTATTAGTGTCCTATTTACTTGTCAGTCATTATTTTGTATGCTTAAAGTCTCTGTTCGCTGCTTTATAACTTTATTGGCTTCAAAATGTTGTAAAAGTGTAACAACAGTATTAAAAGAGAAATAAGACAACATGCTGTTCACCACTTACATGATTATGCTGATGACATGGGACTTTTACCCAGCAAAATAACATCAATGGAAATAGAAAAATTAAAGATCCTTTTCTGTCATTTCTCTTTCTCTAGCTCTGTTCTGCGATTACTACAATCCACAGGGGGAATGTGAGTGGCACTACAAGCCCTGTGGAGCCCCTTGTATGAAGACCTGTAATAATCCAAGTGGGAAGTGTCTTCACGAGTTGAGAGGTTTGGAAGGTAAATATAATTATGCATATATCATTCTGTTTATTAAAAAAATAAAAGAGTAAGATGAACAAAATTTAGATTACTCAGTGCATGAAATGTTTATAGCAGAAATTTGAAGACAATCTAACTCCCCAATGAATCACACACTAGTTTGGAGTGAAAATGAGGAAAAAATGCTTCCAAAGATTAATCTGTAATCAATGAAATAACAGTAATGGAAAGGGAAATTCCAATTACTATATGAAATAATTTCACTAGATCAGATATTAGTAGAGTACAGAATTACTTCTACTTGCAAAAGATCAGCATAAATATGACTCTATTTTATTGCAGGCTGTTATCCACACTGCCCAAAAAATAAGCCCTATTTTGACGAAGAAACCATGGCTTGTGTTTCTAATTGTGGTTGCTATGAGAATGGAAAACATTACAAGCCAGGAATGCAGATGCCTTCAAAGCAGAACTGCCAAGCATGGTAGGATTAATATAGATTTTTCAATGTCGAGCCTAAAGTTGCAGAACTTAATTCATCATGCATTTGGTTTTTTGTTTGCTAGCAAAAGCTAGGCCAATTAGGCTGCTGAATAATGTCTAATTTTCTTCTGTTCCTAGAAATGTAAAAGATGACATGATGAAACATTTTACTTTAGGGAGATTAATATATTACTCACTCTGCATTCTTATTACAAACATTATTAAGTAAAAACAAATAAAAATAATAATAATAATAAAATAATAATTTTGTAAATAATCTGAGGATTTATATTAAGATATCTCTAAAATAATTATGTGGAATTATTTAGAAATTAGTAGATATCAATTCTTCATTGTTTTGAACTCATTTCTGTTATTTGCAACAGTCAGCAAGTACTCCTACATATTCCATTAGAATTTATGAATACAAGCTAGCTATACTTGTTGGGAAAGTCCTGTCAAGCTTTCTCTTAAATAGCACAAAGTTAGCAGAACCAGTCATGAAGCAGTTAACATTGTCCTGAGACATCCTGGGGAGGGACTCTTCGAGACTGCAGTGAGAGGACAAGGAATAATGGTTTAAAGCTAAAATAGGGTAGGTTTAGATTACACTTTAGGAAGAAATTCTTCACTATGAGAGTGGGGAGGCTGGAACAGGTTGCCCAGAGAAGTTGTGGATGCCCATCCCTGAAACTGTTCAAGGCCAGGTTTGATGGGGATTTGAGCAACCTCGTCTAGTGGAAATGTCCCTACCCATGGCAGGGGGTTCAACTAGATGATCTTTAAGGTCCCTTCCAACCCAAATAACTTTATAATTTTATGACTCTGTGATCTTTAAAATAGCTATAAATGAATACTGCAAGCAATGCAGCCAGAGTGGCAGTCTAGTAAAAGCCAATCTGACTATTTACTCAACATTCATGTTATACTTTGCAGCTTATAGATAGCTTTGATTGCCTCACCTATGTCATCAACAGTACTAAATGTAAACTGTTAAATATGTATCTGTATTTGCTTAAGTTTATGCAGTGTATGTATGCCCTTAGTCATATAAATGTAAATAAATATATCAGGATTCAATTCTTAACAGATAATAGATAAATTCTCTTTTAAAAATTACATTCCCTGAAGGTTTGCCAGAAATCTGATGTAAACATCCGTAACACAATGATCCTTTCTCAAGTGATATTTTTACTGCACTTTCCCTTCCAAAAATGTGTGCTTATCAAGGAGACGAACATTCTTAATCACGCCTGCCCATATCTTTTCCTTGCCTCTAAACACACTGCTGAGGATACCCTGCAACATGCAATGAACAGCAGACAACAAAAAAAGAAACAGTAAAATGATACTACTAACCAATACATTCAGATTCATCATCTTCTTTTTTCTCTTTTCCAGTGAATGCACAAACCATGGCAAAATATGCAAATACGATGAACGTGGTATGTTGAAAAAGTTGTTTTCATAAGAGTACAATGCATTTAAAGCACCCTGCTCTGTATTTTAGATACCAAAGAATACTATTCTCTTTTGTTCTACAGGATGTGTCTGCGTTTATGAAGGACGGACATATAACTATACGGACATGATCTACAATACTACAGATGGCATAGGAGGCTGTATTGTTGCAACCTGTGGTCCCAATGGAACACTTCAAAGAGTTGTGTATGACTGCCCAATCTCAACATCACCCACAATACCGTTTCACTTCAGCACTACACCACCTGCCACTGCTTCCACAGGTATAATCTTACAGCTCATAGGAACTTATTCTATGCATTACTGGGTAAAATATAACCACTAAATATCACCTTTATTAGTGTTGGGCTTCAGTCAATATTTGGTAATCAAATTAATACAATACAGAAAATAAAATCACTTCCAAAACACCAATATAAAAACAACTGCACACTATTTTGATACAATTATTTTGTTTGTTTTCACAGCAAACTATAAGAAAACTGCATGAGATTTATTATCTCTAATTGTAACTATTTCTATACCTGTAATAATCTTTACTGAATAAATAGATCATTATTTTTCCTATTAAATTATAAAATGATTACATTCTATAGAATTCGTGATAGTGTTCATGATATATGTAATCAAAGTACTAAGTAGATCACTCAGATAACAACACTGAGATATTGAAATACTCACTTCTAGAATTCTCCGGTATACTCAAGGTTGGTAATCTCTAATTATTATGACATGTCTAACAAAATACATGTTCAATATAAAATTTTGAATTACAAGTTTTCAAATCTCAGAAACCATCAGCACAACTGGAATTTGTTAGCTATTTTCCAGCTGTTTCATATGAATAATTTGTCTGCAAAATCTTACGGGCAGCTCTTGAATCAATAAATAATTTCTTAAGAGCAGAACTGAAGTACGAAGTGTCGAGTTGCTAATAATGTTGTGTCAGAGATATCTTAACTTCAAATGAAGAAGCAATGGCAATGCCATGTATTTCATGAGGAATGAATTCATTACGAATGAAAACTAAATATACCAGTGAAACAAATGCTGTTCTTTCTGCCACACTTGATGTTCAGGAAAGACTACTAAATACTGAAACAAGACACAGAGCCAAGCAATTGCACTGAATCTAATGTTTAAAAAAAAAAACAAAAAAAGTTTTTTTTCCTTCGAAACAGATAAAGTGTGTCTGAATCTTATTTCAGAAGTCTCTAAAAAACAAACAACATTTTCATTGAAGTGACTGTTCTAAACATGTCAGTAAGATAAATTACTAGATAATGGATTTTCTGTTCTAGTTGATAATCAATTATAAGCATCCTAAAATATGTAACTAATGATGTTAAAAATTTATCAGCCCCTTCAACATAATGAAAAAATATATATGGGAATGTATTCTAAGTTTCAAAGTATTTTCTTTAACTCTTTCAGTTACATCATCACCATCGACATCGGTATGTGTTCATGAAGTCTGTCAGTGGTCAGAATGGTATGATGGAAGTCCACTAATACCTGGATTTGACGGTGGAGATTTTGAAACATTCAGTGATTTGAGAGCTAAAGGTTATGAAGTCTGTAGAGCTCCAAAGGCAGTTCAATGCAGGGCAGAGAAATTTCCTAACATACCACTGAAGGACCTTGGCCAAAGCGTAGAATGTAATACAAAAGCTGGGCTTATATGTTACAACAAAGATCAAATTTCAACCATGTGTTACAATTATGAAATCAGAATCTTATGTTGTGTTTTTGTACCATGCTCTTCCGCTTCATCCATCACAACACATACCCCAGTTACAGAAACGACAATCACAACATCAAGTACGATTACCACAACTACATCTACAACCACAGAAACAGGAACTCCTACTGTCACAAGCACTTCTTCGGAAACATCAAGTACCTCCTCAGAGACAACACCTTGCCAACCAAAGTGCAAATGGTCCAAATGGTATGATGTCCACTTCCCAACATTGCACAACAAAGGAGATTATGAAACCTACCAGGACATTAGATCTGCTGGAAAAGCAATCTGCAGAAACCCTGAAAAAATACAATGCAGAGCAGAGAAATACCCACATAAATCTATTGAAGAAATAGGCCAGGTTGTCCACTGCAACGTAACGTATGGACTTATCTGCAGAAATGAAGATCAAAAAGGAGAACTGCATATCTGTCTTAATTATCAGATAAAAGTATTCTGTTGTGATGACTACAGCCACTGCCAATCAAGCGTGACACCTACGGTACCAGAGGAAATTACTACCACCACTACACAATCACCAGCTACTACAACCTCAGAAACTTCAACATCTGCAACGAAAATAACATCACTAGTCACCATATCTCCTTCAACAGCAGCAATCTGTGTAAAAGAAGAATGTGACTGGTCAATTTGGTATGATGTCAGCTATCCAGAATCAGGATACAATGATGGAGACTTTGATACAATTCAGAATATAAAAAAACAGGGATATAACGTCTGTGCTAACAGAAAGGCTGTTGAATGCAGAGCGGTAAGATTCCCTAATACACCATATCAACTCCTGGAACAACATATTACATGCAACACTAAAGAAGGTTTAATATGCTACAATAAAGACCAGCTACCACCAATCTGCTACAACTATGAAGTACGATTTAAATGCTGTAAAAATGTAACAGTACCATGCCAAACAACACAAACACCATATTCAACTACACAAACACAAACAACCAGAACAATTTCAACAACAAAAACTACACAATATACAGAAGTATCAACAACACAATACACACCACAGATACAAACAAAACATAAGACAACTACGATAGAAACAATACCACCAAGAACAGAAAATATTCATAGTGAAACAACATCAACACCAAAACAAAGCACACAAAGAGAAACAGAGACAACAATGACAACACCCAAAACACCATATACATCCACCGCTACGCCCTCCACCACAGGAACAACACCAATAACCAGCACCAGCACCCTCTCGCCGACCCCTACTCTC